TGCTTCATCATCATAATCAGATTCAGAATCTGATGAAGAATCTGAATATGTTGCTAAATAATTATCCGAATTAATGTTGAATCTAATACTATCAGATATATTTTTACTTAAACCATTAAGTTCACAAGCATTGCATTCCTTTAATGAAGGTAATATATTCAAATTACTAACTAGTTCCTTTGCACGGTTAAATGCAGCTAAAATAATATTTTTAGATAAAGAATCATAGTATACTCTACTTTCTTTATGATGAATTGGAAATTTAAGTTCTCGATCATTTTCGTCTAATACGTTGTTGCATTTTTCTTCGTTAAGAATGGATAGCTTTTCACTTCGACGAAGAAAATCGGCTGCAGTAAAGTTTACAACCGTATGATAGATTCCACTCAAAGCTCTTGCATTTTCAAACGTTGATTCGCAAGGCTGTGAGCTAAATAAGAAAATATTTAAAGCTTCCTTTGGTAAATTACGTTGCTTCACTAAAATCATAAGATACAGTAAATTATGACTGTTGATTTCAATTGACTGATATATTGGTGTGGTGATGAAATATTTGTTTTTATTCTTATTTCGTTTTGAAGATTTATTATTTAATGTTAAGGTATTTGTGGGTGAATTGTGGTTCAACCAAATCTTCCACATTCTGCAAACAAATACGACTATCCATGAGTAATAAAGACGATCTTCAATTGGAGTACTTGTTTCAACATATGCGGTAATGATATATTGCACTAACCTAAGATAGACATAAGTAGCTTCTGTTCCTTTTTTTTTCAGTAATAAGTCTAAAACATTTTGAGAACTTATTTTTTTACAAGATGGGAAATTTTGCTTATCTTTTGGATTCACATCTGTTTGCACTAAATTATGCTCAATCTTTTTGTCAAGTGATGTTAATAAATCTAGAAGATGCTGCATTTTTATTTGAAAATTTCCAATTGTAAGCTGAGCTTTGTTAGACAAGATTCTATTTCTCCACTTGGTTGCAAGATGTGTAGCATCTTGAAAAAATAGTAGTAGTTGTTGAGGTCTTAGGAAAAACCAATGCCAGCTTCCTGGTAAAACAATTCGAAATGCTTCTGGTAATTGATGTAGGGTCATGTTTGGCGTGTGTGTAAAAAATCCAGAAATAATTCGCATTGCAGATAAGTATCTACTGTCGCAATCTAAGAAAAATATACCAACAATAAGAACAGAATATAATTGTACTATTTATTCATCACACATTAGTTTGGCAAAACAAAGACTTTTTACCGATGTATTGTTTATTTCACAGAAGATAGCAAAATGTAGCTTAGTCTCTGTATATTTTTTACGGGTTTAGTTTTTCGGAGATTTTCATTCGTTTCATTTTACAAGATACCATCATAATTGAAATAGATTTCCAGTCAAATGCAAGGAAAAACTATTCTTTTGAGTTAAAATTTCAATCGTAACTGGAATACTACTGTTTTGAGTAGCAAATCCACAGTAATAATCAGTTTGTTTTTTACTTTTATCCCATTTCTTTCTTTATAGTATCATAATTCTTAAGTCTTATTTGTTAAATTAATTGCAACTATTAATACAATAGTCAGGATTTTTATCGCACTCAACTGATTATTTTGGCTAAAGTACTGTTGCATATCTTGTATTTTTATGGTCTCTCATGATTTTGGCTGCTGGGATATCGCTGTTTTGACTAAAACTAAATATTTCTTTCGTTTAAAATACATTTTAATGTAGCAAAATGATAGATAGCACTCAGATGAGTTGTAAAAGATCTTATAAACACGTATTTGTATCATTAGGCTACAAAATCACTTCTATTTTACTATAACTTTCATTAAAATATGTGGTATGCAGAGTTTTCAAATTAGCCTTCAGTTTCATGCAATTCAGTAGAGCTAAAAGAAAATTGAAATACCAGTGGCGAATCCAATAATTCGTATATTTCGAGATGAACATTCATTAAAAATGTAAATCCATTTTTGAACAATATCACTTGATGTGAACGTGTTACTTATACCGTATGCTGATAGTATAAATGATGATGAGGTTGTAACATCTTGTGAAAGAGATTGAATCATGTGTAGATTTAGTAAAGCAGCTTTCTCAACATAAGCAAACCATTCCTTCAATTGATAGAACGATTCTGTACGAAAATGATGCGCAACTGGAACTCCGTTATCCAATGGAGTGCAAAATCCAATGAAAGAATTAGTATCGGTGTTATAAACTACTTTTTTAATGATACCCGTAGTATCTTCGGAAGCGAAACCATATTTAGAATTCTTCGACATAAAGTGTTGTTCTAATACATCGAATCGAAATTCTGCTTCATTTAGCTTCAAATGTTTATCTTTTATTAAATTTGTTATTGTTGTTGGACATGGTAGAGCACATACCAAATTGAGCCTGACGAAATTATAAGCGAACTTGCCTCCTAATATATATAAGATAACTGCAAAACGTTGAACTAATTCGTCGTAACGATAATTATTCGTCGATTTGGATAGATTATTCGTGATGTTATCAATTAATGTTGGTAAAAGCGTTTGTTTTTCAGTAAAAGGCAACTGTTCTGCTTTTTGATACCAACGTGTTAATGCTTTTAATAAAGGATTATTTTGAACCAAGCTGTATAACATATCACTTTCATAATCAACATTTTTTTCTTTTTCTTTCAATTGTTCTTTTTTAAAACGTAATAAAGTGAAGATATAATTGATATTATTTGCAACACCTGGCTTTATCACTGTTGTACCATCAGCTAGATTAAACCTGACTTTTTTTTAAATCATTTAATTCAGGACAATCAAGGTCAAGAAAAGAATAAACATCTGTCATTCGAAGTAAAGTTCGTGCAGAGTTAATAGATTGAACTTTGAGAAGTTCAGTAACGACTTCACCACCTAAGTTACGGATTAGATTGAAAAACTTTTCGTCGTATAATGTCATAATGTCGTCCAGTAGCAAAGTCGTATCACTAACGCTGATAGAATCCATTCGTACAACTGTAAATAAATGGATAATTCAATTTCTAATCTAGACGAAATAATGGTAGTTTACCTAGATGTTAATACAAACAAATCGTTCCTTGGTAAAAACTGTAACAATAAGTTTAAATAACAAAGAGAGAAATTCTATGTGATATATTAACTTTCTGAATACGATCAACACGTTTGTTGGATTACTTATCCGACGGTCATCTTTTTTTCTTCGCCTCGTTTCTAGCTGCAGGGACGTTCATAATGCATGTGCTATAGCTAATTAATTTAGAAGAAAATTTTTTCTCTTTCTCTCTCTCTTTTTAATTCGAATTCTTATCGTTGCATGAAAATATCTGTCTTTAATAACAACTACGTTCCTCAGTGACGTCGTTTCTTCTATATTCATTACAATATTCTAAAATGGCCATAAATAAAACCAATATTGATACAAATGTTTTACCACCAGATGTTCTATCTTTAATGGATAATCAATTTTATGATTTTATTCGTGAATTAACAAGTTCAAATGAAGCTGAAATTTTGAAACTGCAACATATAAACAATGTTAATGCATTTCTTTTAACAAAAAATCCATTAGAATTATTGGAATTAAATAGTTCTGATGTCCAAGACATCAGAAAACGTATCTGTTTTGAATTAGAAAATAAAACATTTGTTGTAAAACCAGGTATTAAATCAAATCTTCAATATTTACATGATTTATTTTGCAAAAGAATGGATGAACATGTTAAAGATATCAAAAAGAAAACAAAATTATCACAAGCTACACAAGAAAGTGCTACTGAACATCCAGATGATATTAAAGCATTCATATTACGATCTATCAAGCGATGCTGTAGTGATAATCAAGATATTTTAAAATTACGTGATTTTCAACTTCAAGAAACCGAACATTTTACTTTAAGTTTGACTGATGATGGAAAAGCGTTTATTATATGTAAATGTGGAGAGAAAATTAATTTATATAAATTTCGAGGAAAATTCCAGCTATCTAATTTTTATCGACATTACAAGGCTTCAAGCTGTTCGATGTTAGAAAATTTACGAAAAGAAGAAGAAGAAAAAAATTATCGAATGTTATCAGCAATTGCTTCAACACTTCCACCATCTGATTCACGAACATTACTTTTAGCATCAGCCCAAAATCCAAATGGATTAGATATACCAAATAGTCCATCTACTTCATCACCAACAGAATTATCGACTAACAGAACATCTAAACGACGTGCAGATACAGAAAATTCCAACAATATTGTATCAACATCGAAAAAGCAAAAGAAATAAAAAATTTATAATATCTGTAGCATTTATTTTCTACACTTTTTGTCTGTAAACTTTTTTAAGATGTTAAGACTTTTGTTGTTATTTATTGATCATATCTATTGATAGCCCATTTTATATTCAAGATTTTGAGCTATTTTTTATTATATATTCATTGGTTTTATTAAACAAGAAAAAATATAATCATTTGAATCACTAAACGGATAATAGAAAATGTTGTAGGGTGTGGTTGTTATCTCGAGCACTTAAAATGTTTGCGATGCGCACAGTCATATTTTCAACATTACTCGTATTATCGTAAAATATTCTGGATATAGATATGTTTCGAGAAACAATTTTTCGAAACAAGAAACCTTTTTGTAGTCTCTGTATGATTGGAGTGTCAATTTATATTTACCTTCCATTTAATTTACGCGTAAATTAAATGATAAGTAGATATAAATTGACACCCCTAACTTCAACATTTGTTAGTTGAAAGAGCAGTTTCGAGAATATTTGCATATAAAAAAAA